GCCGCGCTCGACGCTGGCTCCCCATTGGCTGGAGACCGGGATGGGGGCGTGGCTGCGGCAGTGACGGAAGTGACGAACGCTGTGGGGGGCGAGGTGGGCGCGAGCTCCCGGATGCTCCGCGGCAGTGCCGGCGATAGGAGRTGTGGGGTTGATCCGCAAAATGAAACAATAGCGCTTAAATAGCAAAATAATAACCCGGCTTGTCCAGCCGAGGCGTGGCCTCCGCCCCCAGCTGGTCGCTGGAACTCTTGTGTGAACAAGAGGTGGTTTTTTTTGTTGTTGTTGTTTTTATTTTTTTTTTCCCGGCCGCGCAGGATGAGCGCCGTGGCTGAGGAAGTTAAGGCAGAAGATGGCAAAGCGGAGCCTGAAAAAAAAGTGTTTTACTGCGAAGTGAGTGTGMTTCCTTGGTGGGTTTTCAGCCCGGGTGCTCGAGGGCAGGCACTGGAAGGTGTGCAGGGATTGGGACCGCGCTCCCGGGCACGGAGAGCTGACCCAGGGATGCCCTATAAATCAGGGGGCTTTAATGTGCACAATAACGTGGCCCGTCCCTGGAAGAGCAGCTGTTCGTCTCAGGGTTCGGTGAATTCAGATTGTTTTAGAGCGGTCGCGAATGCGGTGTAATGATTCGTGATTGCAGCCTTTGCAATCTCTGTTGAGTGCTTCTGATAATCGGCCGCAAGGGCTCATTTATCTCTAAAAGCTGCAGCTCCCCGTCAGAACGTGTTAGATTCATCAGTTCTGTATTGTTCTAGCACTGAATGTTTTTCTGGCGCATTCAAGTTCTTCGACTGTATTTAAAGGGAACAGGCAATATTAGCATGCATTAGTCGTGCTTTTTTTAAAAGCTAAAGAGAGTGGGAAATATTTGCACGTCTGTATTGTCTTCTGTTAATTATTGCAATGGTATATGCGTGTCTGTGGATCTTAATGAAATGCGTGTGTCTTCCTCCATTGTTTTTCTGATCCCATTAATGTAGCTCTGAATGAACAATGAACGGAGTTGTCGTTATTCCAGGGCGTAATTTTGCCTCTCTTCYTTTCTAGTCACTGTAAGATCAAACCTTTTTCTGGCTTTCCAGCTTGGAGAAGTTTAGAAAACTAAGAATTCAGAAAGCACTGGTAGCAGAGAAGGAGGATGCTCTTAAAAACTTCTTAACCATTTGGTTTATTTAAGTGTCCTTTGAGTAGGTTTGCATGCTATTTCTGGTCATTTTAGTAGTATGCTGCTCTCCTAAAAGTCAAGCAAACTGTACTATATTCGCCTGGAGAATTACATGATTATGCTGTAGGAATGGATGTATTTAATATTTATAATTCTCCAATGGCAAAATATTTGTAACATAACTGAAGATGTGCTTTCAATTTCTCTTTCAGGTTTGTAAAATTTCTTGTATGTGTGCTATAAGTCTTCAGTCCCACTATCGTGGTGCAAAGCATAGAAAGGTAATTTTTTCCATTTTAAATGTATATGCACATTTAATTATAAATCTGGGACTCCTGTAAGTTCCGTACTTAATTTCACAAGGCTTCAAGTGCTTAGTTAACTTATTGGTCGATTTGTAACAGTAATTTATTTGAAATATCCCAAGAAAAAGGTGGGAGTCTCACAACTCTGCTTTGTACAGCATGTAACTTGAAACATCTACCACACCTCAAAGTAAATGTGTGTTAATTGTGAAATTAACATYTGAATTACACGGGAGCCAAAGGGGGTGAAAGAATTCAACCTTCTCTTTTTAGAAGATTGTTTTGTCTTGCAAGTTTGCATAGCTCACCTGTACTTTAAATTAAACAGACTTACTCTTTGCTTTGATAGTAACACCAGTTCTGATTTCCTGAAGGAGTGACACAGACTAAACTAGCAACTCTGACACTTCTGTTGGTTTGAAGCATCTCAATGAGTACTCCCTGATTTAAGCAGAAACAAGACGTTGAATTATTAAATGATGTTCTGTGAGGRTGTATTTCAAGACGAGGCTTTAACATGTATGTTGTGTCACAGAACCTTTGCTGTTAGTTGGCTGATGATTGTTTTCTATTTAAAATTCTACCACATTCTCAGTCTGTAGGTGAGACATAACTCAGTTGTCTGCACTCTGCTGCCATCAGATTGTGCTGTGGCACTGAAGTACTGGCTGTGATGTTTTCTTAATGACATTTTATTCTTTCTGGACCGCTAGAGACTAGCAGCAATACCTCCTTTCTTAGTGTGCCTGTTTCTTTTTTTTGAAGTTAAGGTGTATCTTCCCACCCCTTTGCTATTGTGACAGATTAAAAGTATTTTGTTACCTGATTGCTGATCTCTTTAATAGCATTTATTCTTATTTGAATCAGTGGCTCTACTTTCTCCAAACCCTTTTTTCCCTYCCARGATTGAGTCTTCTTGTTTCCTGTTGATCCAGTGGAAATGTACAGTAGTATTTTATATGTCCTGCCAAATGTTTCTGCTGATGCAAAGAATTCCTTTGCTTTTGTGGTTGCTTCTTTTTTTTCCTTAGCTAACCTTCTTAGCAATCTAATTGTTGCTGATTTTGCCTTTAAAAAGTAGAAAAACTAGTATTTTTTTTTCTTAGAAAATCTGCCTATATTCCTTTTGTTTCGCTCTTGGAAATACATCTCGCTATACATCTGTCCAAGTTTCTTGTGTTGATGAAGATCTGTGAACTTATAGTAAACAAGAGTAGGCCAGGTTGAAAACTGGATGTTTGTTAGATGAGAAACGTTAGTGCTGGTGTTTGGAGTCGTGGTCAGCCACACGGCTACATTTCTGTAGGAATAATGCTCCAAGCTTGTGTCATCATTCTTTTCAAATTATCTCCAGTTTCTTTTTTTAAGTTACGAAATCTATTGTGTGAACTTGGAGTGACTTCAGCGTTTTGTACTGCTGGGTTTGGAATAACTATAGAAGTCCTGAACTTATGTTTCTTTTTAATGCAGGGTAGGTGTAAATAGTGAATAGCTCTTAGTTCTTTAYTGGAGTAAGTCCTGTTCAAAATAATACCAAAGGGTGTCCTGACAGCATAACATAGTGAACAGAAGGCCGTGCTTCTTTTGCTAAATGACAATACTGGCCTGACCAACCCATTAGCCATTTTTTATTACTTTAGTCAGACTGCTTTTTTTTCTATCAGTTAAACTAGTGGTTTTTGAGTTTTGGCTTCTCAAGGTTAGACACTTTGCTAAAAGTTACTCTAACTTTTCATAGTCTTAGCTCAAAAACAGCTGTTGCAATCCCTGAATCAGAACAGAGAATAAGTTTCTTACCTAATGTGTGAAAATCTTAATTCCTGAGCTAGTAACAGGGATCAGAAGTAAAATGGACCCCTTAGCTTCAGTTGTGAAACTCTGTTTCTTAAATTAACAAAAGCACTAACCCAAGTGCAGTCCAAGTTAAAGTTGATTATCTGAAAATAGTCAGAAGGAAGTTTTCTTTGAGCAGCAGCTCGCAGTTGCCAATGTTTTTTGTGCCTGTCTGAAAAACTTGGTATTAGTGGCTGTTTGTTGTAAAACTGGAGAATGAGTAACAAAAGCACTTGGAACAGCATAGCTGCAAGGAACACTATTACCTGGATTTTTAAGCTTATGAAATCCTGCTGAGCTTGTACAAAACCAGCCACTACCTGTAGCAATACTGGGACTTAGTTATAAGATAAGRAAGTTACCTGCCATGAAAAGACATCTGTTTGGCTTCTCAAACAATTAACTATTGTATCAATCTTGCTTCCTGTTGAATTGCATCTCTTCCATGCCACTGAATACTGAAAATACAGCACTTAACTCCATGGGCTGCTCTGGACAGCCAACTGCTATACTGGTAGAATGATCACACTGTTTCATTCTTGTAAATGACAAGTTTGTGTTTACATGCCAGAAAATTGTCAGAATGAGTCAGGATTGTTTTAGCTATTAAATGGAAATTTAAGTTTCTCTTTTCTTTAGATTCTGCCAAAAAGCAATCTTCTGTTCTGGATTCAGCCAGTGAAAGACACTTTTCCTGTTTTTCATTATATGAATGATCTTTCATGAGATTTGCTAGCCTTATGGTTTAACCAAATCTGCTCAAAATGGTGGGGGAGCTACTTTGAGTTAGTTTGTTTTTCCTTTTGGGGTGAGGGTTTTTTGTGGGTGTGGTTTTTTTTTTGTTGTTGGAACTACACCTTCTGAAAACTTAGGAGCTGTAATCATACAAAGCTCAAGGTTTTCCTGGCATCCTTCAGATATTATGTTTCAAACCATAATAATTTCTTTAAACATCATTGAATAACAGGGCYTTCTTGAAAGCAACCTAGTGTTAACTGTATGTACAGCTTTGTCAGTACTGCCAGCTTTTGGAGAAAATCATAAAGGTTCTAATTTTTTCCTATCTGTCAGTAGAAACTTTGGCCTGCATTGCAATTCATCTGCAAAGGCTTCTCAGGAAGTGCTCGGTTTTTCCTTYGATTGATGCAGCACATTAATTTCTTTTTCTTATTTTATTTTGGGATGACTTGAATCTTCATAATTAAAGCAAGAGAAAGCCCTGAGACGCAGCACTGTCTATTGTAAGTATAATACTTCTTTCTTCCAGCCTTCTAGGATAAATTTTGCTTGGGGATTTGATGTTTGTTGCTTTTCTAATAGTTCAGGTATTTACATTTGCTGATTTATATGTCTGTAACCGTGTTTATCTTTACAGAACTGTAAAGTTCTTCTGAGATTTCTGTCTAGTGAACAACTGAGCAAGGAGTTGTTTTAGAGTATGAAACCTTAATTATGCCTTTGCACATATAAATATTTATATATCTGTCTAGTGGAGGGATGTATAGTGTTTTAGTTTCTCACCTTCCCAGGCTAAACTGTCTCCCACTTGTCTGTAGTTGATGCACTCGCTGCTGAGCTTCAGGCAGAGTGCTRGGAAGCTGAATCAGCAGGCTAACACAGCACCATTGCAGATGCAGCTGTACCAGTGCTGAAGCTGCTTGGCTGCATCACAGAACTGTTCTGTCTCTATTGTAGTAGACTTGGAGTAGCAAAGATGTATTCAAGGTGAATTCAGTTGTTGAGGTGTCTTTTCCCCTAGAAACTGAGAAYGTGAATCCAGACTGTCATATGTGAATGGAAATAAGAGTTGTGGTGAAAGGTTGAAAATGAGCATATACCCAGCTCACAGTGGAAATGAAAATCTTGTTGTAAAGCTGCTTATGATGACATATAGGAAGCAGAAGCATAAGCAGATGTGGGAATATTGATAAATATCAATGAGATCATTAAAAACCAAAATGGTTATGCAGTCAATCATCACAAGAAACAAGCCTTTCATTTSAATTTTAYCTTCTTAGCCTGTWCTCCCAAGAAACAAGGCTTACATTCTGCCTTTGTCATCTGCTCCCCAGTGTCTTTTGAACCTCTCAGCCTTTTTGAACCAAGTTGATCAAGGGTGCCTGAAAATACACATCTGCACAGGGAAGAGTGAAAGTGTCAGTTCTGTACTGAGGGAGSTGCTGCCAGCTGAGATCACCACTTACTGGACCTTGAGGAATCAACACACAAGCACGTTCTGGGAAAACACTGGTCAGAGGCCCTTTTTTCTAAGAGACTGGGCTTCATTAGCTGCCCTCATGGTTTTGTGCTGATAAAGGAATTAGTACAAGACACGTCATTCAAGTGTGTGAACAATTACAAGATTTTGCCTCAGCAGCCATGACTGCTACATGGTAATGAAATGAAGCTCTCTGACAGAATTTGARAAGTTGTGAAAACTTACAAGTTTTCTCCAAGTCCATTAGATTCAAGCACTACGAAATTGTGTTTGCACCTCAGACAGCAAGAACAGATTCACGTGGCTCTGGTCAAGGGCTTTTAGTGGAAGACTTTCTACAGATTTCTTTGAATTTCTTGTCAGAAATGGTCATTAAAAGTAATACTAAGTGAAGAGATTCTTCAACATCATAAAATCTGATTTTGGAGCAATAATGTATGGGATGCATGTGGCAGAAAGTGTGGCTTGAGTAAGAGGACAGAATGCAGCAAGACTGTGAAGAGTGGTGCAGCACAGGAGCCTCTTGCAAAGACCTAYGGCATTAGAAAACAGTACTGTAGGTACTGCAATCTCAGTGTTCCATGGTGAATCTGGGTTTACAATGTGTGTATGCACTACAAATACTGTATCTTTGGAAGTGTCATGACYTGGAATCTTTCAGCTGGGATATATCCTGCAGAACAAGGATATATCACTTTATTATTAAAGTGAAGAATCTTTGGTAAGCAAGCTASCTCTAACTTCTGGAGGAGTCACAACATCACAGGGTACCACATGTCAGAAACATTGAAAGATGTGCTTTTATCCAGAAAGTTCTCTGCCTCAGCAATCATTTTGAAGCAATCTGAAACTTACTTCTAATAAAAAATTATTATTAATACTATTTATGTCTCCTTTATCTTACCCTATCAGTATTGTATTCTGCTTTACCGAAGATCAAGATGTGGGAGATCAATTTGCAAACCACTAGTAGGATTTATTTGTCCAAAGAGGCTGAAATTTGGCCTGGTGAAATGTATTTGTATGTTTCAGTTGCACTGGTTTGGGCTTTCTTTACAGATAGAAAAGCTTTTTGCCTAAGTAACTTTCCAGAAGTGTTGGRAACTGCAATGCAGGATTATATAGTCAATGTGTATGCAGAACTTCTTGAACTTTCCCATGGATGTATTACCAGTTATATAAATRATTCTCAGCAGATCCAGTAAAATAATTATGCTCTGTCAATGATATAAAAGAATAAACTATGAATTTGTCTAGTCTTTATTTTTTCATTTTAAATAGCTGGGTTTTTYCCTACTGTTTGTAGGCATATGAAGTAAGCATGAGCAAAAATGTTACTGCATTTATGCAGTTCAGTAGTAAAGTTTTGTGAATGAGCATGGAAAGTATGGCTAGTTGTAAATTAGGTGCAGTATATAAAGTATGAATCTTAATTCTATTTCAATATATAAATTAATGAGATACTTTTGTCATTGTTGCTGGATCTGCAATCTTATTCTAATGTTCATGCTATCAAATATTCCAGTGAGATTGAAATGTGACAACATGTTCACGGAGCTGGAGTTCAAAGAACCAGGAAAAAAAATGTTGTGAAAGTGAAGGATGAGTTTTCTTGGAAATCATTCGGGAGAATACCTGACAAGTATCTGAAATGTACACTGTCTAAAAAGGAACAGGTACTTCAGAGGGTGAGGTTTGGCATATTTAGAATGTTTTACATCAACAGCTGCATTTTCTTCYTTGCTACAGAATTAAAAGAGTTCTTTTGTCAGTAGGGAGAGCACCTCCAATGCTGCTGCCATTTGTAAACCAAAATTTAAGACAAATTATTTGGATTCTGAGTGTTTCCAAATGGGATATGCCATGTATCCTTTCTGAACTCATCCAAAATTACTTGATAATCCGGAAGTGGTGAATGTATGTGATCTCTTTGACAGCATAGTTATGTTGGTTTTGAAGTCAATTAAGTGAGGAAATGCATCTGATTCCAGATGTTTGTTWTTGGAAGAGTTCCACTTCCTGTTAGAAAAGCATCTACTTACCATGTGAGTCTCCATATGGCAAAACTATCCACAAGCTATTTTTGTGATAACAACAGAWTTGGATATCTTYGGTTGTTTTGGGTTGGTTTTTTTTCCCTGTTTAGCAGTTCAGAGGAGAGGAACATAACAGAAGATGTGGAAACAGAAGATGCTGAAGTTCTGAGACTTTACTAAGAGAGTTCAATTAGAGCAGAGCTGAGTATATAAATTTCAGTCATGTGACTCCTTTGCACAGTGATATAATTGGATAGATAAAAAGAGTTGAAACAAGTATTCTAAGGCAGTTGCCCWTGTGTTCAGGGATAAGGAGGGTTGGAAACTGAACATTGGTTTTTTTTTCACTGGGACCTGTTTGCCAAAATAGAAAAGTTTTGAAAGCTTTTTGCTTTGAGCAAGAGGCATTAAATGATAGGGCAATGCCAATATATACATCAGGTGATATTTATTGGGCAATAGCAGTATATAGTGGTTTACTACCATTAGTCAGGTCAGGCAAGAGACATAATCTTGAGCATGAGCTTTGTTAGAGCCCTTTATGAGCTTCCTAGCTTTATTGGTAAAATGAATATAGCACAAAGTGGAGTGGATTAATGAAATTTTTTTGYACAGTCTGTGGAATTTTACTTGCACAACAGTATGATGAAGAGATAGCTTGTAGTGCTGCTCCTACAGCAGTWCAAATGGAAAGTGTATTAAGGGATGTTGTAGGTGCTTAGCTAGTGGATCTACTAATCTGCATCTACATTCTCAACTTACATGTTGAGAATGTAGATGTGTAAATAGCACCATGAATAAAGAAAGCTTCCTTATGGTTATTCTTAAAACATGGAGTCAAGGAGAGGAATCCAGTCTGAAGATAAGCTGCAGTTATTAGGCAGCACTGATGACAAGTTCTTCCTCCAGTGAAAGCACAGATGTCATGTATTCTGCCTTGTGTTAACCAGTGACAGTCTTACCAGTATCCTGATCAGCATTTCAGCTTAATGTTATAAGAAATTGGTATGCTTTAACATGTCCCTCTTGTTATAATAAATTAATGTGCTTTAACATGTCCCTCTATGCTCAGTGCATGTTAAACATGTCCCTCTATGCTCAGTGCATGGATAAGAATGTGCTTTTCAGGTGTATAAGTACTGCTAAGTCTTCAAAGAAAAAACTTTGAAGTTCTTTTTTGACTAGAAGAGAAAATATTTTAGAAGCCATAATAATTGAAGTATGAGACTGAACACTGTCATAACACCCTTACTAATTCTTGCGAGTTCCTCTACACAATGAAATCTGGCGTCTTTGTGCTCTTTCCCTTTTGAATTCAAAAGGGAATCTTCAGTGCTGAGCTTGGTATATCCTTGTTGCTTCTGAGTAGCTAAATTGACAGTGTCTGAAACTCCGTTTTTGATTTGAAATGTGTCTGTGCATTACAAATACACATACAGGTGTTTCTTTGTTCCCCACCTTTTATATGTTTAGCACTCKGTAATTGAATAGTGAAAAGAAAGGGTTTTTTGGGGAGATGTTTTTCGTGGGCTGTTTGTTTGTTTGTTTGTTCATGTAGGTAGCTAGTATTTGGTAAATAACTGTTGCTGAATAGAATGGTAAGTTGGAAGCGATTTCCTGGGACTGATTAGGTCATTGACTAGCTTCCTGCAGGACTACTGCCAGTGCTGGATCATCACTTGCTTGCTGAATCCTTGAACATCTCCACAGGCAGGGCCAGCCTACTGTGTTTAATCACTCTGTAGTGGCTCCTCTGTTTAGAGGAATTTTATCCTAGTATCTAGCCTTTGTCCCTGAAGCAACTGTTTCTGGCTGCTACTTGTCACTTTCCTGCAGGGCTGGACATTTTGTAGCTGCTATTCATGTATCCGTGCTATTATAACTCCTCTTAGTCTCCAGACTAAAGAAGTCCAGTTCCCAAACCTGTTCTCATAAATAATTTGCCCTGGGTTGTTTGTCGTTGTAGTAATTTTTCTGGACCCTCTTTGCTTTCTCCGATTCCACTTCAACTGAGCAAGGATGGCAGTAGTCATCCTTCCAAGTCTCAGATAATGGGGGATAAGGTTCTGCAATAAGTTGCCTTGGGGTTTGTCTTAGTGTTCCCAAGGTCCTACTTAGTTGAAGCTGTGGCATTGGTTGTATCCCCTAAATTACTGTWGCTTGTGAATTTTCTGAGGGTGTTCTATGAATACCAACATCAGTAACCTGGTTGGGGATGCATTGTTGTGGGCCCTGGAATCTTTCTTTGAGGGACTCTGCTGCTTACTWAAAACCAGGAGGCTGCTCTGGTCATTGCTTCCCTTTGAGCCTGGCAAACAGCTGATTTTCAGCTCATTGGAATGCCTTAGGAAAAATACTGTTTTGGTTTTTTCATGCTTAAGAAATATAGSTTAGATTGTTAATAATAGTACAAAGGCATGTGGCTAGTAAGCATGAATTAAATGCTGGCCTGGAAACCTGCTGTTGCTGAATGGAAGAGTCTTCAAGATCAAAATTGCTTTGTTAAACATGTGGGCAGCAATGATCTTTACTTCAAGCTTTTTCAACTCTAACCATGTTAAGGCAGAATGTGCTGTGAACTGCTTCTGGTACAATTTTCTGTAAATCCAGTTTGTTCCCAGAAGTCAACRAATTATAGGTATCTTATTTCACAGATACCTATCCGTGTCATTTAGCATTTGGCCATGTTGTCTGTACATGCTGGATCTGGAATCTTAACTTGAGCTTCAGACACTAACTGAACAACTCTGAAATTAAGTAATTGTTGTACTTACAGAATGCCTGGGGATCTTTTGTTCTTGCTACCAGAGAGTTTAAAGCTTTTAACTGAAAAAGATGCATTATTTATTTTAAGAAATCAAGGGAGAAATGCTTTCCCATGCCCCTCCTATATGTTGTTATTGCAGAGTTTGTTTGATTTACAGCTTTGATACCTATTTCTTAACTGTCTGTCTTATGCAGAAAGAGGAAAAATAATTAGTATGTAACATGCTGTGTTTGCCATGACTATAGAAAACTTCTTTACTTCAGAATTAGGAATTACATGTGCAAATATACAATTAAACTCAAACTTTTACTTCTTCTGGCAAACGAGTATTAGTTTTAATCTTGAACACTATGACATATGAAATGTTGACAAYATCATTTAAACATGGTCGTTGGTGTGTGTCTGTGGATTTGAGGGAGAAGGGGCAAGGGAAAAGTTCTGAAGGGAGTAGGAGTACACATCTGAAAATTCACTCTGAAGTTCCGAGTGATTAATAATAGGTACAGAACCCTATGTAAAAGGAAATGTAGTTTAGTGACTATGTTAATTGTGTCCGGGCCTGGGTTTAGGCTCTAAATGTTTAGACCAGAAGCTTTTGCTGGGTACCTGTAACACAGATTGGTTGTTGTACATGATACTGAATACCTAAAAGAATTAAAATAAATAACCAGTACRAAAAAAACTTAAAATCAAATAAGAATTGAACATTCTGTGTTTCTGTGACATTTATGTGTTTGGTATATTGTGTTGATGGGGGAGCGGAGTGGAGTGGGAGACTTAAGAGCAGTTAGTTACAAAAGAAAACTGTATCAAGATGGACAACTGAGCCTGTGTTAAAGTGCAAAATGAAGYTTACTGTTCAATTCTGTAACATGTTTCAGTGATCTGTTAAATACTTAATAAAAGCAAATGAGAAGCAGTCTGACTGTCAAACTCTTATCCTAGGTCCTTCAGCTCCATTTCAACCTCCGATGAAGTGTCGAGTTCTCAGACAAGGTAGCTGAATATAAACAATACCTTTTTCAGATGCAAATGAGTGGTTTTTGAAATGAATGGTTTTATTTTAATGGTGACTAAAGCAGGTGGTTGATTGGGGTCTAGAAGGAAGCAATGCAAGCTGCCAAACATCTGAACCATTCTGGTTAATTTATGTTAAAAAATCTTAGGAGAACATGAAGTTACAAGTATTATTGCAGAAAGACTTTCAAACTTAACACATATTTTCTGTTCATGATTATCTGACTATCTCAGTGRATCTGTCTGGTATTTTTTTAGTTGGTGAAGTTTAAGAATAAAAAATCTGCAGCATGCTCAATGTATACATGTGACATCCTGAAAGTATGACAAATGAAAAGCATATAAACCAAGAACAATGTGGATTGTTTKCTATTAAGATGATACTATGGCAGGAATATTTACTTGTATGTTAGGAAACAAGGTGGAAATGGCCATTACCTTGCTGAGACCTTTAAGGTTTTTCTGAGTGGATCTTTCCATATTGCGTCCAAAAGATGATGTGTCTTTCTCTGTCAGCTTGGGAATAACAGCTCACACTGAGCTGCTGCACAGGCACACAAAAGAGAATGRTATCATGAGAATGATACAATGCATTTAAGTGTCGAGAAAAATCTGTCTATGGAGATGAATTATGTTGCACCAATTGGTTGCACATCAACTCTGTCACATTGTGCTACTGCTGCATGTCACCTCAGGTGAGAAAAAAACCTCAACYAAAACAACATAGAAAGATKTTAAYAAGACTGTCAAATTTTGGTGGGAATGGGCCGCATTGTTGCTGTGSTAGGAGGTGTCCCATGAGGTATTTCCTAGTACTGTAAATTGCAAGAGGTTCTTCATCTAAATTAATTCTGGAGCTCAGTGAAATATTTCTTTGTGTTTAGTCCTGGTGTTTGACTTCATGGCAAYGCAGGCACATTTCTAATTGAATGAACATTTAAGGATGAATATGGAATTCCCTATCCTTGTCAAGTTTTGGTTGTTTTGTTTTTTTTTTTAACTATAACCTGATAACCTACTGGGAAAAAATACCCCAAGCACTGATCTGTTACTGTATTTCTACTTGTTTGCTTTGCTTTGAAGAAACTAGCAGTGTTAGTGACTCTTACATAAAATTCATTGGTCAGTAATATGTAATTAGGAAGATGAGTTTTGTTTCTGCATGTTTTTTTCTTGGATTAAGAATACATATTTTAACACTTCATCATGTTCTTCTATGATGTCCAACATTTGAATACACTTAATGCCTCTTTGCGATTGTTTTGCAGATGTATTTAGCTGAACTCTGCTGGTGTTCTGAGCTGCACAGGAGTGCTTTAGAAGTGTTTTAGGCAGAGCAAAAACCAAGCTATTAAAACTCAGTGAGGAGCAAGATTRAAACACTACCAGTTCAGACTCAGGAATATACTGACTATGTTTGTGCAACCTTTGGGCTGCCCAGAGTGCAAAAGGCATTTGCTGTATTAGTGAAGATTGTGTTCTTGTTAGCCTTAAGGCAATATAATTCTTGAACTTCAGGCTCCAAACAACCAGTCCCAGAATGCTGTATGAATATCAGGGTTTTAAGGGAGGAGGAGGAGGTTGGTGGCTTTGTTTTGTTGTTTTGGTTTTTCTTTCATGAGAACAGACACAGTCTGAGAGATGCTGTGAATGTGAACTTCRTATCTTTCCTCAGTAAATTGAATTGTGTTAGAAGTCCTATTGTGCTTATTTGGTTCTTTTCTTAAAGACATTAAATCTTTGTGTGTAAAATTGTTATGGAAGACAAAGTGGAGCCTTTCTGTGGAGAACTGAGGTCTTGCCTGTTTTCCTTATGTGTTTCAGAGTGCAAATGAATTTTGTTCCTGTTAAAGTCTCCACTGGAAACTCGTTTAAGATCACAGACATTATGTGCAAACTGTATAATGTGTAATGTGTCTTTATGTGTGTATTTTTTACTTCAGTGAAGAGAGGATTCACAAGTTACATAACCTGTCTGAAGGATTTTATGAATGATCCCAGAAGAGAAGAACCTCTAATTGGTATGTTTTTTTTTGTTTTATAAAATGTATGTCTTTGAATTTGTGACCAAATGGGTTTTYTTAGAAACAAAAGGTGGGAATTTAGTTGCTCTTTCATTGTCTGTMAATGTATTTAATAACTTATAGAATAACATGTATCTCATACCTTTAAAATTTTGGTTTATTGCACTGAGTATTATAAAGGCCTCCTTAATAGTTGAGCTAGTGAGCTTCCTGAAGGAGGAAGTAACTAAAGAAGCTTTTCCCAGATCACAGAATGGTTGAGGTTGGAARGGAGCTCTGCTGATCTTAACCCATKCTCAAGTCCCAGCAGAGGCTGCCTGGGACTGTGTCTGGGTGGCTTTTGAATATCTCCAARGWGAAAAGCATRAAGTYTCTGAGGGGAACCTGTGCCAGTGCTCAGTCACYYTYGCAGTCAGTGTGTTTTCAGATGTTCAGACAGYATCTCCTGCTTCACTTGTGCTRTTGCCTCTTRTCCTGGTACTGGGCACCACTGAAARGAGCYYRGCTCCCTCTTTGCACCCTCACTTAGAGTATTTATGCACAGTGATAAGAACCCCTCTAAGCTTTCTCTTCTTCAGGCTGAGCAGTTCCAGCTCACTCAGCCCTTTCTCATAGGAGAGATGCTCTAGTACCATAATTTTCATGGYACTTCATATGTCCATGTCTCTTGAATAGGGCAGTGCAGAACTTGATACAGCACTCCAGGAATGGCCCTACTGGTACTGATTGGAGCCTGCTGTCAGCACTCCTCATTGTACAGCCCAGGTTACCTTCAGCCTTYGCTGGCTCATCTTCAGATTGGTGTCCATCAGGTCTTTTCCTGCCAGTCTGCTTCCCAGCTGGCTAACCCCCAGCARGTACTGSTACCTGGGCTGGTTCCTTTCTGGATGCAGGACTTGGCACTTCCACTTGTTGATCTGCTTGAGCTTCCTGTCAGCYCAGCTCCAGCCACTCAGGGTCTCTGTGGATGGCAGCACAGCCCTCTGGTGTATTGGCCATCCCTTCCAGTTGTGTGTCATCGTGAGCCTTGCTGAGTTGATGCTCTGCATCATCATCCAGATCATTAATGAAAATGTTGAACAGGTCTGGACCCAGTACTGACCCCTGGGATACACTTCTATCTTCTGACCTCCCAATGGATTTCATGTCAGTGGTGGCATGCCATGAAAGTCATGGTTCTTTGTGGCTTTTCATTTGGTTGGCTGTTCACATTTCTGTTTAGTGAGATATTTTTCTTCACTGTATTTGGCTATACTAAAAGTAATGAGATTAATTTTAACACTTGCTTTCTTTCTAACTGCTGGATTAGGCAACCCTTGTGAGAGAAGCAAGGCCTTGTCAGTGGCCTTAGTGTTCCAAGCATGTACTAGTGGCCTAGAGAAAGAGGTTTTCTGATGAAAGCCTAAGTAGGAAATTTCCCAGTATTAGCAGAAAATGCCTATTTCATGCATTGTCTTGTCTACATAATAAATTACTAGGCTTTTTAATATTAATACTTTWCTATAAGCAGTTTTAATAGAAAACACTTCAGTTGCTGGAACACTTTCAGTTCATTTGGTGATAGTTTATTTCAGAGTTAAGATTTAGAAGTGTAATACTGTAGCAGGTCTGAGATGGAGTTGAATTTCTTCATAGCAGCCTGTATGTTTTGGATTTGTGACTGAATCAGTTTTGATGACACCCCAGTGGTTTTTGCTGTTGCTGAGCAGTGCACCTGCATCAAGACTGTTTTKTTACTCTGACTCCCCACCACTTGAATAAGATGGGGTGAGCAAAAGACTGGGAGATGACACATCCGGGGCAGTTGACCTAAACTGACTGAAAGGATATTCTCTACCACATAATGTTATGCTCAGCAATCACAGTTGAGGTAAAGAAAGAAAGAAGGGGGAAAGCAGGATTTAGTATCCAAGGTGGTTGTTCGGAGACTGTGGATGGGTATTGGTCTGCTTGTGGGGAAATGAGCGATGGGTTTTTGCATGTTGCTTGGTTTCTGGATTTTTTTTTTTTTTTTTTTCTCTAACTTATTAAACTGTCTTTAAGTCCATGAGTTTTGTTGCTTTTGTTCTTTCCATTTTCTCCCCACCCTGCTGAGGGGTGTGTATGTGAGTGAGCAAGCAGCTGTGTGGTTCTTGGCTGCTGGCTGGGATCAACCTATCACAAATAGATTACTGGAAACTATGACAAAAGGAAACAGCTGCAGGGTTTTCCTATTTGTTTTAATCTGCTTTTAAATTTGCTACGTTTAAGCTTTTTAGAGTGAAACTTTTCATGCTAGGTAAATACTTCTGAATACTTCTAAGGGATAGTCTCAGTAATTTCTAGCAAAAATGAAGAAAAATCCCATTTTCATTTTTGTAACTCTTAAAAGTTCCTGGAACATTTTTAGATTATGAAAGATTCTATTTTGTGAAGTGACTATTTTCTTTCCTACATCTGCTTTGTGCTACTCAGACACTGTCCAAATTATATTTGACTAAGTATTTTAAATGCAGTTTTTCAATGTAGACACTTGCATGGCATTTCCTAGTCTCATACTCTTTCTTAGTTTCTTGGAAAAATATGCCTAATAGGAGTAAAGGTGCATGAAATATTTTCTTTTGGTGAGCTTGGAAATGTGCCATAGATGGTGTATTGCCTTTCAGAATAAGATGTTGGAAAGAGATAAATTTAACTGATGTGGGTTATAAGTCCAAAGAAGCATTGAAGTGATCCTGAAGGAGTGTCAAATTCTGAAAATGGAATAATTTCGTATATTCATTTTGAATTTTATGAACAACATTCAAAAGAATACATTTATTTTTAGTAGTCTGTAGTAAAGTAGAGATATTTGTAACTCTTGCTTTTACAGGTTTAGAACATGTGGTTGAAATAAGACTTGAAGGAAGAAAAGAGCCCCGTTATCAGTGCAAGCTGTGTGGGTGTAATACAGAGATGGCACCTATGATAGAACATCTTAGTGGCTATAAACACAGAAGAGAATACATTGTGAGTAACTTTGATGCATTTCATTCAAAATTTCTTTGTGATATTCCCATTTATTTATTTTTTCTCTAAATAATTAGATCAATTGAAGTTTAAACCTCCATATGATAAGTTGCCAAAACTTGCACAGTTGAGTCTCCCTGGGTGTTCAAATCAATATTTATCAGACTTTTGGAAGCTTGTCCAGAAAGTGAAATGTGTAAGTTTTTTAATATTGTGATGAATTTTGATATTAGCCTTTTCAAACTGGTYTTGTTTACAGTCTAAAGAATTTCCAGATAAAATGAAGAGAAAACCAACRGATGTAAAAGAATGCAAAGTCTCATTTCTCAGACGGATAGCAGGAGAGCTAGAGAAAACTGAAGGATTAAAAATGTATAAGGTAATTGGAAGTAAATGTAAAGTATCTGTTAATATGTCTTATCAGCGCATTTATGTTTGATATAGTAAATTTTAAAAGTACTGCTGGCAAAGCTTATTTAATTTCTATATAGGAAGTATGGGAAGTGTCATAGTGAGTTGAACTAAGTCTTAACTTAAAGTTACCCTGAAAAATCTGGAGAACAGAATAATAGTATTAAAATTAATTTGAAAAAAACCCCAAGTTTTATATTTTTAAGGTTTTAGGTTTTTTTTTTTTTWAACTGAAACTTATTCAGTCTGAATTCAGTGGCTCAGAGATTTCATTACTTTAACTTCAGTAATTTTTAATMTTTGCAACTGAAATTATCTCAAACRTATATAAGAAAAWATTTATATTTGCAAAATTCTCTRTSTGTGTGTGAKGAACTAATTTAATTTTGTTGGCATAAATAAAATTACTTGTTACTTTCCTAAAGGCAATTGCAGTAGAGACTGTTGTTAAGAAATTTTAATCAGAATGTTTAATCAGAAATCTTTTCTATTTTTAGATTGAAGGTTATGCAACATCAGCTACCTCATGTAAGTCTGTGAATTTCTTGAATAGAGTAGATTTGATGTAATTAATATTTGGCCTAATTTGACATAGTAGTTGAACTCAAAGGATTTGACTGATTTAAAACATTCAACTTGTAATACCACAAAATGTTTTCAGAGATTTTTCTGGGTTTTGTGATTTTGAAATGAGGAAAGAAGGAAATTGCCAGACTTCCACTCTTCACTGTTTTTTAACTTCTTGGTTCCAGAGGTATTTATGAAAACTGCAGTAATTTGCTCATCAAGGGAARTGAAAAAGTATGGAAAAATGGTGCTTCATGGCTTTCTCTGAATAAGCTGATAAAGTCTCCTCCACCTCCTTTCCATCATCAGAAGGCTTACATGGTGAATCACTGGTGAAAGTGGAAATTACTGTCTTTAGCAAATCCATTGGAACAAGCAAGGGRAACCAAACCCACAGACATAAACCCAACATCTTCTCTCATACGGTGTGGCTGAGTTACATCCTTTGTTACTGTAGATGTGCTGTAGATCCTTAATGATCCTTTGGGTGCTAGTATTAACATCAGAAGGAAGGTAGTTTTGATTGAAATGGGTGAAGGTTGCATAGATCAGCAGAATTTGTCAGTGTGAGTCCTGCTGTAGGAACATATCAAACCAGTACTTTTTTTTTTTTATTTGATCATTGGTGGCTTCTGTGGCTTGTATCTTTTAATGCTGGTCTGCAAAGCAAGGTGGCAGAAAWTTTTTTTGATCTGTGTCTCTTGTGAAGAAGAGGGAATGTGACCCAGGAATTAGCTCAGTAATTCTCAGTTCAGAGTAAAYTGACAATCAATTAAGTCAGTAAATTTCTGTAGAAGTGGAAGACACGGTCAAATATCAATCTGGAACATCAAAAAGAGTGATCCCACCCAGTCCTACAGAATATGAAACTCTGGAGAACTGGACAAGAGTGAAGTTATCTGCAAAAGCATTGTGCCTTCCARTATAAAGGTTTGCTCTGGTTAGGTGGTAAGATCAACATCAAGTGATTTTTTTTTTTTAAAAAAAACCCCTCTGGTTATTTGGAAGAAAATCAGGGTTTACTGCATTAGCAGCTGTGTATCTTTAGACTAGATTATATTGGCTAATTTCAAAACTCCCTTGTGATAGTGAGAGTGAGTTTGAGGATATAATTAAACAAGGGTCCTAGAGTGCAAGCAATGAAATGGACATCAACAGCTTCATCAGCATGTGTTAACCGTGTTAACAGGAGGTGGTTAACGTGGTAACACAAGTCTTTCAGCCTTGTCTTATTGACAAAGATGTCACTTGTCCTGAGAATTGRCATGTCCTGTTGCTTATCCTGGAACAGCTTTGCTGATAGATGCTTAAGAGAGAAGTGCTAAGTTATGTACCATGCAGTAGCTGGTTCTCTGAAGCAGTTACTGTTTTAGACTGCCTTGTTTTGCTGAGTTTTCCCTTCCTCCCCCTCTGGTTATACACTGATAGAGATGAGACTATCAGACATTCCAACCCCCTGAACTTCTTCTTGGAGGCTTAACTATTGTATGTGCAGCTTTGAAGTTTGCTGGGATGTACTCAGAAAAAACCCACACACAAACCTGGTAACTTTTTTGCATGGAGGGGACATGCCCACCTCAATTTAACCATGCAGGCTTCTTGTGTGGGATTCAGCTGCCTGAACACAGATGCTGTAGGGTACCCTGCAAAGCTTTTAAGGCACAAGTCTCCAACAGACTTTTCATCAAGGATGCCTGCTGGTTTCTAAGATGAAAGTGTGTGCCACCTGCTGCTGAATCCTGCCCTTTAYAGAAACTGCAGCCACTTTATGGCCAGTAACTGTTCTGTTTGTGTAATRCTTCTGTTGCAGTAATATGGTGCAAACCTTGTAATGTTGCTAGTAATTCTTTTTTATTTTCTAGCTCCACTGAAGAAGAAACCAAGGTGAGAATACTTCCCCCACAGGGGAATCAAACAAGATTTTATCTATTTTTCTGTAGCAAACATAATAACATATGCGGAAAATACTTTATATAGTCTTTCCACTGTACTTATTCCTCTTCTATAAATTGTTGCTTTTTGTCTGTGAGGAAATGAGTTCCTATGAGTGTTGAAAGACTGCACTTTAAAAGAAATTGCAGTCGAAATTTCAAGCTGCTTCCATTCTATTTGAGAAACCACTGGCGAAGTTTTATAAAAAGYTGTTTATATAAGAAGGAAAAATAACCAACCCACCATTATTTTAGTCATCTCCTTTAGCTGATCTGTAAAGAAGTTTATTTTTTACTACTGATATCTCTTTGAGAGTCAGTCAGAATAAGGACTTTTACAGCATATTTAAAATGCTTTTATTTTTTAGAGAAACATTCAGTATTGGTAAATGATATAAATTTGGAAATGGAAATATTTTGGTTCTAGACACTATGAGTAAACCTAATGKTTTAGTAATTTTTAGAATGCATCTTAATACTGTAATTTCTTTCTTTTAAGGTGGGAAGATGATTATAAGCATGAGGTATGTAGAGGTAGTAACTCCACACAAGTGTCCACATGCCCACATGTGTCTCATGTTGTAGCAGTTTCTTTGTGCTTGCTTTTCATTTTTCTGGAAATTGTTTACTCTTTGGCTTCATTTGCAATTGTATTAATTCTGTTGTAGAAGCAATTGACCTAATGAGTCAGAGTTTTGTGTTCATCACAGCAGAGAGCAAGAAAATACAGTACATTCACTTTAGCTCTCATAAATCCTGCTGAGAGCCACAGAGAGTCTCAGAGCCAGTGTCTGCTGGCCAGGTCTCCCAGCCTGTGCTGCAGGCTCCCTGTCATTGTGGCACTGTTGCCCCTCTTCAGCTCAAAAGTATTCTATACTGAAAGTTTGGTTGAAATCTTAGATATATCTAAAGACTTACAGTGCTTTTTTCTAACTCAAAGGTGAAACTCAAAATGCTCACTTAAGCGTCTGTCCTGACACGAACACCAAGAAGTGCCTTGTTTTTAGTGGCAGAGTTGCTTGTGTAGGCCTCAGGCTGGTCAGGTACTCTGCTAAATGCAGCTTAACACTTAACTTTTTTAAACATCATTTTGGTCCTGAGTGGGGAAAAAAAGCTCCTGTAGGTGTGTGGCTTAGATGTGAAATGTGTTCCTCCTGGAAGTTATGCAGTTGTGTTTGTAGTATCTGCTGCCAAACTGTTACAGAGGATCTTAGGTTATGTGTTTATGGCTGTGACCTAAAATTATGTCTTTTGTGTTGACTTTCGTTGTTGGATAAAAGATTAAAAGGTCTTGTTCTGTACAAGATAAAGCGAAAACTGCTGTAACATTCAGTCTTTTAAATTTTTCTTCCCTGTTCTACAATCCCACAGAATGATCCTGTTCGGAAACAGAAAGCTCTGGAGTTCTTGGTATGTATATAAAATAACTGTGAAGAGAGTTGAGAGGTTTCACCAGTGAGATAGAGTGAATATAGTGAAGGAGCCTCTGATTACTGATCAAACTCATTTGACTACAACATAAATTTCTGTTTTAATGGACTCTGCCCTTTGAAAAGTTAGTGCAGCTTTAGCTTAGCTCAGAACAATTGGGTGGATTAATTGTGAGCTCTCAGTTTGTTCTGTGGCTGAGTCTCCCCTTTGCTGAGGAGCCACCCTGACAAGCAGTGTTWATTACAGCACCGATGTTGCTCAAGTGCTTTTGGCTGTCTGTATCTAATGGGATTGTTGATAATGCTGAACAAAAGCTGCCAGTCTGGTGTGGCTGCCAGAGAGAGCACAGCTGCTGCTCTTGGGGTGACTGGAGATGTTTTATCAGTTCTGTTGCTGTTGACAGTGGCATAGTAAGCCTTGTTTTGTCTTTTGAGTTTATGAAAAGGTCTGACTTTTCATACGAGTAATTCTCATTTACTCTGTGAGAGTCAGATTCTGTACCGAGGACAATTGGAAAATTTTATTTGAGTTTGAATTGTGGTGGTACACCAAAATCAGAAGTAGAATGTTTTGAGATGTGTGCTTYGTTTCTTCTAAGCTGTGGTTACTTGTGACTTCAGAAAGAGACAGAAAAGCAAGTCTAAGGGATAATAAGTRAATGACAAAAAAWTTGGTAGTTAAYTGACTTTTATCTTCAGGAATCACASCTATTCCTTACAAAAGACTGCCTATATTCTTTTAACTTACTRTAATCACTTATAAATTCATATACTTCCTAATCAGCCTGAAGCTTATTTTTTATTCAATTTTCTACAGGGAAGACATAAATTTAGGACTTGTGCCYTTCTCTGCAATGAAATGTGTATGCCTTACAGTACAGAAGTGGCACAGAAATCCAGCTTTATGTTTTACCTTTTATCAGGCCATAATTATGGTCCAATTTTTTTATATCTGTGTATACATTTATTACATATGCCATATATTAGCAAATAGTATGGATTTGGTTATATCAAAATCAAAGTATAACTTTGATCTGTTTGTGTATATGACCCTCCCTTTGGCACTGTAATGATCAATTCTAAACATGTTTTTCAACAGGAGACTTTTCGCATCACCTCAGACTCAGAAGCAACACTTGTTGTTCAAATTACGCAGGAACTCACAGAGGCTTTGAAGGCCTTTTGTGAAAAGAAAGTAGCAGTAAGTAACTTAATCTTTTCCAGAGTTATTTTACCATTGGGAGGAAARGAGTGGTTAAATTCACTGTGTTGACAYCCTGCCAAACTGTAACAGTTCAGGCATGGGTCAAAACCCCCAGTTAAATATACTTCAATTTTCTTTTTTTACAATTTCTAAGTAACAAAGATATTAATTGCATAGCACATTTCTCTTGGTATTCTATCATCATGTATCTGGTTTGGCTATTTTTTGTGTGTGTTCTGTTCTGGGCACCATTCTGCTTCATGATGCCTGGTTGTCATCCTTTCTGTGTTGGCCCCTTGCTTGATAGCTTTTGTTCTAAAATTAGTGCTTTAAGTGCCACCCTAATGTGCTACTTTTTTCTTTTGTGGGAATGTGGATAGGTCTGTCTTTCTTGTAACTTGTAGCTCTGCTCTCAGTTGAGAGTTTAAATCTKTTAAGACTAGGGTAGGGAAGATGTTCTTTACTTTCTGTTGGTCCTTACAAACCTCCATAGGTTCTTTGCATAAAAGTTGAATATGTGTGGCAAAAGGGGTCTTTTGCCAGAAAGACCAGAATATGTGAAAAAATGATTCATCACTTTGGCAGCTACAGGTACACAAAATTCATGTGGTTTTTTTTTTCTGAAAGCTGTTTTCAGAGTGTTTTCTCAATAATATATTCCGTGTGCACTGAGCTACAGTAACTCTATCCATGCAAATGCTGCCACCAACACCAGTTAAATATTKTTTCTGTAGCTTAATCTCTCAGCTGAGCCTTCCATTCTGCATTCCCCAGCTGGAAGCAGGATTTCTATATGTACCAGTTTTATATTTATATAACCAGGATATTTATATTAAATATAARTATACTAGTATATATTTTTATGTACTAGGTCATGATGAGAGAGATGAGGCAATGAATTTGAAACAGGAGACATTGTCTTCAGCAGACACCTTCTGTTTTCCAGACACATACCTCTTGCAAAGAATACTTTGGAAAATTGTGTTATAATATGGTAATAACACATCCCTCATATGGACTTTGCTATTGCCTAAAATTGTACTTTTTGTGGGAAATGTATTGCTTTGTAGAAKTCTTAAAGTTCTTAAATTCTTGCATTCACAAACAGACATACTGAACTTTTGCTTTACCTAGGTTAATTATACCAACAGTTCAGACCCACTGATGTCAGTATCTCAAGATGAATTTCCAGAAAGGAAWAGCATCCCAGAACACTATGGGCCAGATGGAGAATACAAAGGTAATTTAGATATTTTGTTCTATAGTTTGTCTACTCTTGAGACTGCACAGATGGTGAAAATTTACTTTTATGGTCAACCATAGTGCTTGTTATCTGGTGTACTTTGTGTCTTTGCCCTCTGAGTCAGTTCAGGGTATCATTTTCTGAAGCTTTATTGACAACTGTCTGAGAACATTCCTCTCTCACTGAACAGTGTTACAGCAGTAAAGGTTATGGAAATTCAAGCAATAACCCTTCCTGATCTATTTAACATTAGAATTTTTGGGTGAAAAGATGCCAAACTCAGGTAAGACATAAAGGCAGGAAATGGGAAAAGAACAGAAGAACATTTATTAAAATCTCAAAGTAGTTGTGTTTGCAGCTGGTATTTTAATATTTTGCTAACTTTTAGTGCCCTTTATTTATTCAGGAACTTCTGACTGGAATCAAGGTTTTTTGTCTCAGTATGAAGAGTGTTCTGAAGATGCTTCTTTTGCTCCTACYCAGTCAAACAGTTACGAAACAGATGATGGATCATCTTCCTGTCATCTGAGATCTGAYGACTTTGCAATGATGTCTCCACTCAGGGACTCTCCTGATGATCAGCCTGATAGTCCTGTCAGTGGTGTCAGCGAATGGCTGAGACAGCTCAGAAACTCTGTGTCCAGCAAGAATTTGGCTGCTGGGGCCTCTTCCCATGAGACTARCCCACTGAGGGAGTACTCAGCAGAATACACATCCAGTGATGTTCAAGGAAGTGAGCTCCATGATAACAGACTCTCATTTGGCAGGGAAAATACAAAATGGAGGAATCAACAAGCATGTACAAAAGCAAGACACAGACATCATCAAGAATTACCCTATCCCAATTCTTCTGCATCRTATCCTTCATCTGGAAGATACTTTACAAACTATCCTTCACAAAGATATTCCTCTTACAAGAAYAATGAGTCTGTGAATACTTGTACATATTCTGCAAATGCAGCTGCTTCAGGACGAGGTGGCTCCAGGTGGCACCAGGACACTAGGTGGAATGGGTGGAACGAGGACTCTAGCTGGAACAAGGACTCTAGGTGGAATGAGGACTCTAGGTGGAACAAGAGCTCTAGCTGGAACCAGGACTCTAGGTGGAACAAGAGCTCTAGTTGGAACCAGGACTCTAGGTGGAACAAGAGCTCTAGTTGGAACCAGGAATCCTGTTGGAACCAGGAATCAAGGTGTCAGGGATTCAGGTATCAAAAATCAGGCTACCAGAGTGAGTGGAATTCACACCAGGACTTATTTTCTGGTAGCGGTTCGTACCGAGATGACCAGCAGTTCAGAAGCTCAGATGAGATCTTTGATGAAGCTGATGTTGGTCTTGCTCCCAATGCTGTGAACAGACTACTAGGAAAGGATGTACCCACAATGACCAGGATGCTCAAAGAGTTGGCTCCATATTATCCAGCACTTCAAAGTAAGATTGTGATTAGTTTGCATGTGAAATGAGTGACATCAGTATCTTTCTGATGACATTTCATAGACATCATCTACGTCATCTTTCTAACTAGCAGTTTCTATCATGAGTTGTACTGGTAGGTTTGCAGCAATGGGAAAGGAATGTATTGGCATAAAGAAAAAAGTATTGGAATGCATGCAGAACCAAACCTGGGTGGCATTTAATAYATAATCCAAATGGATCAAAACCCATTGGGATATCAAGAGAAATGTTATCAAAGAGTTGGTTCGTTACGTGACAATTTCTTTTTTTTCAGTTACTGTAGAAATAGTCATTAATGTTGAGAATAGTGATATACTATTGTAAATGAAAGATTCTCCTTTGRAAATAGATTATGAGAGAGATTTAAAGAGAAGTGGGCATCTGCTACYGTATAGCTGTTGTTGGGCATGAGTTTGGACAAATGCAAACTATGCTCTGGTACTAGAATTAGTTCATTAAGTAGATAGCTACCTAATAGTAAAACTTCCATTTTCACATTCTCTATGCTGTATTATGTGAAAGATTATGAGACAGAAGTAACTATAAATGTCTTTGTCCTTATCCTTATGTAACTATAAATGTCTTTGTCCTTATCTCCCCCTTCTAGAAATAAATATTCAGACATTCGTCAATGTGCTAATAGAAACAAGACAGAAAGATTAAGGAGCAACAACAGCTGAACTGGAAACATGAAGAGATCTGAGACTCTCCATCACTTGGCTTTCAGAAGAGAGACTGCATTTAACTCTGTGTTTGACTGGCTTAGGAAAGGTAAAGGGAGGTAGGGTTTAAGTTTTTTAACATGTGAAATATAGCTGGAACACAAACTTGCACATAATGGGTGAACATATTATTTTGTTTAGGCTTTTTGTAATGTATTTGTTATATCTTAGTATATTACAGAAAAAATCTTTTGTTATATTTTGAAAATAAGTTAAAATTATTCTGTCAGCAAAAAGCTAATAATCCCTTTAATACCCTTCTGAATTCAGAAGAAAAAGAAAGGTTTACTTTTATGTTACCTACTTAGGATGAATATTCATCGAAAATACAAGTTTGCTTTTCTTCACACAAATGTAAGGCCRGTTCCATTTATCTGAGGCTTTATAATTAGCATGGTTTTAATATTGATACACGACATTTTTGTTTAGACAAAGAAAGGAGAATGTCACAGCCAAGRTATTCTCTGTCTTAATGTGATGCTATATGAGGAAAACGTAATCTATCTAGAGAACTAGTATGTAATGKGACATATTAGTTTTGTTTTTGCAGAGTGAGAAATGGTGTGAAATATATGCAGATTTTTTAATCATGTTGTTCAAAATGAAATCATAAATTATCTTAAAAACTCATTTGGTGGATTGACCCATATTAAAATAAAAATTCTTGATTCTTTCCACTGGCATAAACATATTAAGGARTAGTAGAACTCAGAAAGCAATCAGATGGAATAACAGAAAAGAATAAATAATCAAAATGTCATAMTGAGTAATACTTACCAGTTCATGATGTGTATCAGAGCCACATGCCCATGAATGCCTGGCTTTAGATGTCTACTTTATGTAATTAAAACCAGCTTACATGGAGCTGAAGAAAAGAAGTAAAGTGAGACAGTTTACTCCTGAGTGTCTGTTTTCCTTTTCAGTGATGCATTGTGGACTATCATTTTCCTTCTCACCCATGCCTGAACTGTGTCTCTGTGCATTAAATACTTGCRCTGACACAGGGTTAATCTTCATGAGCTGTCAATAGTACACTTCGGATCTCGTCACACAAATTTTAATAAAATCTCGACAAAATTTGAGCATATAAAATCAATTCTCTAAGGTTTTCCTTCTGTTATTATTTTGCTTCTGAAYCTGAAAAGATCCACTTTCCTGTTTCAATCCTGTTCATTATTTCCTTTACTGCTCATACTTATTGAAGTGTTGGAGTGGTTTATAATGTTACACACTTTATAGTTGTGCCAAACACTTTCTTCCACTGAATTACATTGTCAACCTTCTTGCATAAAGGGAAAATTATGGTTTTTCTATCACAAGTGTCTGCCAGAGTTTTGATTTACGGGTCTGTAGGATTATCAGTTATTATATCTACATTTAAAAATTACCAGAAGCTCTTTACACAAATGTTACTACCATGCTTTTTCCCCCAGAAAGTGTAGTGCAACTAAGTCTGAAACTGTAGAAAAAACGTTGCTAGAAAATATTACTGCTGAGACTCTGTCAATTCAAGTTAAAACCTTTTCATTTGAGGTTGTTGTAGAGAGCTCCTCCTCATTTCTCCCTCCCYTTTGGATTTTATTGTCATTACTGTACACCTTAATGACATACAGCAGCTGGGTGACCTCTACCCAAATTAGATGCTTTTTCCACCTACATGTTCTTTTATTTTTCCTTCTGGWCAACAGTTACTGTCCCTCCTTTGTTGTTGTGCAGAGTCCTGCATTGGGGGAACAGTTCTGCATTTTGAAATGGAGTTGGAGTAGTTACCAAAATAAGAGAGCATGGATTTATTAAAGCTTTCCTGAACTGTAGAGTGCAGAGTACTTCTTACTCCCAGGAAACCCCTTTGCAATGTCTTGCTCCCATGTAATACAGAGTTGGAGCAAAACAGATCTTCTGTCTAGAGTCCAGTCCTTCTTCAAGAAACAATCTTCACAAAATAGGTCTTGACAGCCTGCAGRGCAGCACTGGATGCCTGCATCTGTCGACACCAATGCAGCTACATCACAGGCTTTGGCACRGAGGCAACTGTTCTGAGGCTGCACCCACACCCTTGGAGCAAATTTCACATTTCSTTAAAAAGCTAATTAATGATAAAAATCCAGAGTGTCTTGGATTGGTGATAAATGGTCTGCTTTTCAGCTCGTTTCTTTGTGATGTACCTGCTTTCACACCTTCGGAAGTGTCTTTTTCCCACTGGGATAAAAGTTGTTTCAATCCAGAGCTAACTTGGTGATTGTCTGGAGCAGTGATGCTTCTTTGGAAAGTGCTGGAGYCAGCTGTTCTGCACCAAGGGCATACAAGCAGAACAAGGCCAGCTGAACATGGAGACATTCTTCAGGGGAGACGACTTGGGAAGTTTCTCAGATTTCAGCCTTTTTAATTTTTACCTTGGACTTAGAAGTGCTCTTTGAACTGCTTCGTAGAATTACAGGATTTCATGTAGGTGTATGATCCAAAGAGATAGATTCCTTAGAGGGAAAGGAATTGGGAATTGGGTTGTTTCGTGCCCCAAAATTTCAGGCTCTTCTGTTAATGTTTTGTTTTTGAAGAAAGCATAGCTAGTTATCATCTCAACCTTCTAGCRAGGAAATGTTCAAGGAGTAACTGGTGTAAGTCTTCTTCCCTTGTTTTCTTAAACATAAGTAACTTTCACAGTTTATCCAAGGCAGTTGGATGAAGTGGTTCTGACACTGGTCATTATTCCTGCTCTCCTTTCTCACCCAAATCCTATTCCTTACCTTTTGAGTGACAAGGCCCAAAGTGCTTTGGGAGAACCCTTGTTTCGGTGTGCTTATGCTATGGAGACCATTGGTCTCTCCCCACRTATTTCACACCAGAGGAGTGTTCAGTGTTGCTGAGCTGTCACTAAGGGTCTAATTGATTGTCACTTGACAAATAGTAGCAGCTTCTCAGCATGACAGATTGGTAAATGCACAGTTGCTGCTTTGCTGCCTTCAGCCTGACACCAGACACTTTACTCTGGCTGAAAYACAGAATCACAGAACAGTCTGARTTGGAAGGGGCCYACATTCAGTGAAGGGCCCATACAGGAATTGAACCTCAGACCTTGGTATTATTAGCACCATTCTCTGAACATCTAAACCAACCTCTGGGTCATGTGGAAGTAACAGTGTAACTTCATTTTTTTTTTTAACATTTCTTTGCTTCCTTAAAGTTGCTTCTTTAGAGTTATTGCAGGAGATGGTGTGTGACAGGAATCAGTCATGACTTGTCTTGCTCAAGTTTTTCCACTGTCTCTCATTAGCTGTAAATGGTGATATGTAGGGTAAAGTCACAACACAGTCAATTCAAGGCACTTCAAACAAGTGCTTCAGCACAAAAAGGAAGACTTTTGATGTTAAATGAGACAACTAAGCAAAGGAAACATATTCAGAGCCAGAGTACTCTTTTTGTGGGGAGCTTATTGAAGGAGATGCAGTATCATCTTCACAGGTGWGAAGAAATTGTTATATGAAGCCATCCCAAGGATACCCTGAAAGAAAGAGGCAGCTAGAAAATAAAATAAAAAAGACCATCCAAGTGTAGAGACCCCTGAATCACAGAAAAATGAGAATACAGAAATAAAACCACCATCCCCTTAAAGCTGTACAAAAGTGAAACAGACTAAAAGTTGACCTAGTATTTTTACTTAATTTTAAATTCTGTATTAAAAATTAATACATTAAACTCTTATAAAAGTAAGGCACATGCAAAACATGTTGTGCAACTTCTGGCTTTCAACTCATAGAAACTAACAAGCATTATTTTAATTTGGCATTTCTAAAGAGTAATTTTTCCCATGCACGATATGTGTTTAAGAGATCATGTTCGACATTGCACCAGTTAAATCTAGATTCTGTGCTTTCTGTACTACAGTAAGCAGACATGTTCATATCATACAATAATACAAAATAAAAACCAACTCAAGTACAGATTCTGATACGATGATTACCAACATACAAAATTTAAGAATGTGATGTTACACCATTATAATACATCAGTGATCTTATTCAGTAGAGGATGATTTGGCAACTCCAGTCTGTGTAATGCCAGTGTGCGATTCCTGGTTATCAGTGTCATACGATGCTGAAGACCATGGAAAGATACTGCTCGTAGGACACCTGAATCCAGCCATCCTGATCAGTGTCGTATCKTCGGAACACATCAGTCAGCCTCTGAGGAGGACAGAAAAAAATAGGTATTTTTGTTCTTTGGGTAAGTTCAGACTGCCAATTACTCCCTGTGCCACCGGGCTTCTGTGGCTTTATGAACCCTTTCTATTCAACCCCTGTGTAGCCATTTTACAGTCTTAAGTATAAARAGAGCTCTTTGCTGATAATGATGCAATACCTAAGGCTACCTAGACACTTCTTTATTGACTAGATAGCTCTTTATAACTGGCTTTAAAGCAGGGGGAAAAACAATGCAACATCTGAGTTATCTGGAAACAGAACACAATGTGTACCTTGTGCATTTCTCACCCTTTAGGCAAATACGCTTTGTGTGCCATTGCTGTCTGAGCTGTCTCTGTATAATCCTAGAGATGCCAGGCAGTATGGACAGTAAACCAGAACAACTTCCACTGACATCAGCTGAGTGACTCTCCATTTCAAAGCCCTTTTTAGCAGAGTTCAAGTCTATAACTAACTATAATTGCCTTATATTACAAATGARTACAAAGGTGACTGATGTGTCTAAATAAGAGATACTGCTTTTACAGGGAACTGCTCTCCCTCCATGGTCTCTCTCGCTCTCTGTTACTGAAAGGTTGGGGGGTGTTTTGTGTATTTCCAGCATTAACCCTGCAGGAACAGCTCTGAAATTTGTATTAAACTAACAGACACTGTACACTCTGGGACTATTGTACACTTTTTTGTCCCTCACCCGTTGTATCAAATTTACTTGATATGCAAAGGAATTACTAATGAAGACCAGTAAACGAAGATGTTTCAGCACTTGTCACATACTTAGTTCAAATGGCTTATTATAAATAAAAGCAAATTCTAGATCCACTGTTAAAATGTGAACCAGAAAAGCTTAAGAAAAGGTAATCTTTTTACAATTGACATYGAAGTACATCTTTCTTACCTGTAGAACAACACAGCACTGAATAAAATCATCAAAGGCAACTTGTCCTCTTCCTTGTCTGTCAAATTTCCGAATAAGGATATCGTAGAATTGATCAGACAGTCGGTAACCTTGGAAAAAAGAGAAATGCTTTAACAGGTTTCAATTACTGCAGTCCTTCTATAAAAAGAACAAGGTTATTTAGCAGGCGTATGTAACAAAACCARAAAACAGTAAAGAGTTAGAATGATTTTTGTTTCCTAAATATCTCTGTTAATGCATGCAATGAAATCCATGCTTAATAATAATTATATACAGAATATAATTATAGATTAAGGTGACTGTTTGATTGAGGGAATGGTTTAGGGCTGCAGCTCAATCTTTACAAATGAGATCATTGGAATGGAAGTTCCTTAGCCATCAGAATGCTCTCCTAGCATAGACAGCTTTGTTTCAAAAAGTGGCAACTTCTATCAAATACTAAGTTCTATCACTAAGTTCACTCTTTGCCTGAAGCACTGGTAATGCTCCCAGAGCATGTCACAGAGGAGACTGGAACTGCATATGTCAGTACATACGTGGAATATTTTTTCTCTATTTAAGGAAAGAGCTTTAAAAAAGGCACCTTATACCTRAAATGAGAGCTGCCCTTCACCTGCCTCATGTTTAATGACATTTGTCAGAGCAGTACAGCTCTGCAACAGTGACAATAAGAAGCTCATTCTATGACATAACCCAGTCATAAAAACTGTAATTGCAAATGAATTACCAAAACCTGTTAGTGCTTGCTTTAGTTCATTTTTGTCAATCATTCCAGAATTGTCTCTGTCATACGTTCGAAAAACGTTCTGCCAGTCTGTGACGTATTTCCAAACTCCTGTGAATTCATTGAAGTTCACACCCCCTTTGTTTTCTCTGTCAAACATGCCTGAAATAAAAAGAAACACACATAAAACCTTAGTCATACTACTCCTCAGCAAGATCTCACAGGATTTTCAGAAGACAGCAAAAGTGCTTTATGAAAGGTACTGAAGAGAAAAAAAACTGCTAAAATACAAGTGATAATATGGAAAGTTGCGCCAAGAAAAAGCGTGCAATTGTCCACTGAAGGAAAAAATGATAAAGCAAGATAAAAGAGTACCAGAATGAATCACAGAATGTTTATTTTTCCTGGGTGTTCATTTTCAGTCCAAAAATACTGAGGGCTTAACTGAACATCCAGGTATAAATCAAAATGGGCAGAGGGGTGGATTGTTCTTTTCTAAGGGCACATTAAAAAGTCTTACACCTATTCCCAAGACTGCTGGGATATTCATCCTCATCTGACTTACTGATACTGTTATTTTTATACAAAAACCATGTAACACAGCAATGGAACTCAGACTGCTGCTGAACACTTACTGAAAATAAAGCAAAAAATGTAATCYTTGGATTTATGAACGGTGTGATAGAAAATATTTTATTTATTGTGCTTGAATCTTTATCCTTCTGTTCTACCACCATCATCTTCCATATTACTGGCAATTATTTTAGACAATAACAGAACTCAAGCATTGTAAAATTTCTGTTTGGTATTTCTGCAGCAAAACACAGGATTAAAATGCAAGGCAGGAAAAATGACTTCCAAAGACAAGTTATCTAATATCTTTTTAGAAAACTTAAGATGACAATCTCCTCATGCATAAATTACATTTACTATCTAATTAATTATGCAGTATCATTTTCTCTGACAAGTGCACATATGTGTATGCAAAGGGCATTCCTGTATTAATCAAAGGGGAAAATAATTTAACTTACTACTGCTGGACAGCGTAGCAATTGAGAGCATTCTCAAACAGTATCTTAGGAAGTATGTCACATTACACAACTACACTCACCAAGAATTGATCTGACKGTTGCTGGATTAAATGGAGTCCACGTGCCTGAAACAGAAAGAATTACTTCGTTCCTCRGTACTAAGCAACATTTTAAAAAAGTGCAACAAACCAACCAAACAAATCAGTTAAGAACAGTGAATTCAGAGCTAGATGACATGGAGCTAGTGTATTAAAAAAATAAGGCTGTTTTGAAGTAATTATGTTCTTGACCATTCAGAGATGACTTCAGACCAGTGCTTTACAARTAGCACACAGAAACCAGCACTTTTAAGGCTGCAGCAAAAGAACCTAACAAACCCTGGAATATATAAGCAGCACTTTTTCATCCCAGGCTGTCAGGAAGTACTGGATAAAAGGCAAGATCTGAAGTAGCTCTTTTCTACTGATAGGAGCAGAAGTGTTTTTAGGTTGTAATTCAATCAAGGTCTCATCTCTGTTCCTCAGTAAATACCCATCTGCTCATTTCCTGCTTTACAGGACTACTCCAGGGCATTTAGTTTCTGACAGAAGTAAAAAGAAAGGCTTCCTAATATGGCATAACCATACATTGCAATTTAGAGGTGTTTAGTATAAATCCCACCTTCACTGCTAAAACAATTAAGTGTTAGTTTGAATTAGTATTTTTAGACCAAGAAATTTTGCTGCTTGAAAGGGCCTGAGCAGTAATCATCTGCAGAGGAGCCCTGTACTTCTCTGAGTATTTAGAGGCTRGTCATTATGAAACACTTGTCACTTGGTTGAGAGCACTGCTAGGAAGCATTAAGCTTTTAATGAAGAGAAATCCTGTGCCTTATCTGGAATTTCACAAATTCTGTGGAGCCTATGAAGGAACCAGGAGGATGAAGCAGCACACATTAAATTAGCTGTGGTTGCCTGCGGGGCCCCAAGGAATCGGTGAGACCACAAAGGAGTTGGTGAGCTGAGGGCACTGCGGAGGCGCTCGCAGGGATGCGTCAGCTGACCACAAATCCCAGCAGAAGAGCCGTGCTGGGATCCAGCACACAGGATTTCCTGGGTCAAGTGCAGTGCTGTAGCTCTCCAGGGAAATCCCTGCACTGTAGGCAGGCCCTGTGACCATTTGCTCATAAAGAGGAATGTAAGCAGAGAAAGAGAAGAAGAAAAATGGCTCTGAAAATGCTGCTTAAGCAGTATTTTAGACAGAGAACATCAGTACCTTAGAGCCATATGYATGTCTCCTCACAAAAATAAGAAAYAATKGAATTRRTAAGGTGCCAGCATTTAATTCTGAACAGAATAAGAGGGAAAAGTGAAAATATGATCTAAAAGCTAACTTATTTCATCTTGAAATATTCAAGTGACTCATATACATGCCACAGAGCGAAATGTGAGCAACTCTAGAGATGAAGAACTGTACTGATTTCAGCCTGTTCCAACAAACAGTGAGAGACTGTTCTGTCTCCCCTCTTCTGACTCTCCTATTAACTTCCCATGGCAGCACAGAAGAAAACAAGAAGGAAACTTAAGATTTTATTGTGCAAACAGTTAGACAAAGTGATGTTTAGCCCCTCCCAGGTAAGCACTCTGTTATCTGCATAAACTTCACAGATTGAAAATGTCAAATTGTCAAAACCACATTGTCAAATTGTCAAAACCATACTGTCAAATTGTCAAAACCACACTGAACTTCAAATTTCAATGAGCATGATGCAGGCTTTTTCAATGTTTTAGAAACAAACATGTAAAATCCTTTTAGCCCATGTCAGTTTGCAGGACAGCTATGCACAACCATCCACTACAGGATATATTTTGAAAATAATACCATGAATTGTTATGACTTTGGTGTACAAGATCTAGCATCTATTGGAATGCAGGAAGCTTACAGGTCTGTAAGTATTTTGTCTAACAGTGAATTCACTTGGTAGCCATTCTTCCTAACTGCAAAGTACTGAAACTGCTAATCTACACTGTAAATAAGGAAAGAAGAGAGCTCAGATAGTTATCACTAYCTATTACCCCTAAATTCAATCATATGAGGAGATATTTAAAATATACAAAGGTAAAAATGGCAAGTTCATATGAGAAATTTAAAATTACAGAATTTAAAGCAACAGGTAAAATTTAAAATGACAGGTTCATAGTTCTAGACAGCACTGTAGTCAAAGTGAAAATGGTGAGTTTATCAATTTAACTTAGTTTCTGCTGAAGATTTTATTCCAAATAGTATTTTCATTAGGGATCAGGTCTGGCAACCTCAATACATTGCTTTTAATTTATCAGGTACATTATTAAACAAATATTCTAGCAAATCCAGTTCAGTTACAAGACTGTAATTTTACTAAGTAGAGCCACCTAAATTTATTTAAAGTCAGGCAATTACTGACAAAAAGGGGCCCCTCAGCCTGTGTGTGCTGCAGCTCACAACAGCAGTTTAAGCCCTTCTCAGTCACAAAGCGCAGGAAGGATAAAGGAACAAACCTTGGGAGAAGGGGAACTTGGTATAGACTCAAAGATGGACAAACAGCCTGAATATGCCCCTTTTCAGATTTCCAAACTGGAAAAAAAAACCCTTCAAAGTACAACCCTACCCACTTTGAGTCATGGGAGGAAAGTAAAAATAGGCTACTGGAAAAATGTTTCATTTTTYGTTTCCATGAGTTATTTGACAATACCCTAGTTATTCTTTGAGCATTATAATAAGGAACTGACAGACTACTAGAAAGTTTTATTACTAGATCTAGAGTACATCTTTCTACTAGGAAGTTAGGAAAAACCCCAAACATACTTCATTTCCTGCACCATACTATATGAAAAATAAATTATGTGCAGTGAAAAGGCTGGTTGTAAACAGCTTTGTCCAGRTTATACCAATCCTGGTTAAAAAACAAAGGTTCAGTAGTGATGACCAAGGAATATAAGAATCACTGGTTATGATTTCTAAGAAGCAGAGCTGGAAAAAAAAAAGGGATGTGCAGGCCTTCATTCCTCAGGATACAGATCAGTAATGGTTACAATAGATACTCCGTTTAAAACAAACAAACAATAAGAACAGGAGGATTGTTCATTTTTTCCCCTTCCCAGCATTTTGCTGTAGATTAAATAGTATTAATCAGTGGTAGGAACACTTCCCACCCCATTCCATATAAAGAACAATGGCATCAAGTAACCACTCTCACAACAAATTTAATATGAAGTTTATTACAATAGACTACCTCACTGCTCATTTATAGACTTACCATTGGATAATGCCTGCTGAAGTTCATTATCAGATATTATTCCACTCCTGTCTTTATCAA